CTAGGGAACGGTCGGATAAGAGAGGGCATAGCCTGCAACTGTATAATGGGTGGAGAAGGGACTCTTCCTAATTCCTCAGGCTGTAAAGAAGATGGCAGAAGATTTGTACTTTTAGACTTGCAAGATTCTGTTAATGTAGTCTTACAACAAAGTAGAATTAACTCCTCTGGTCGTGTTTCCTGTCTGGTCTACCTGGGAAGGCTGACAGTTACACAGAAGGTTGAGCTCACTCAAGAAAGAGAGCCTGGCTCTGCAGCTGTGTGTTGTTAGTATTGTAACCACTGGGTGCATTACACATTTCCTGCAATATGCATAAAAGACAGGCGGAGCTTCAACTGCACTGATGTGACTGCCATTATTATTACTATTAGATTTTTATCCCACCTTTTTAAATATATAACTCAAGGCAGCGAACATGCCTCATACTCCCTCCTCCTATCTTACTATGAGGTAGGTTGTGTTGAGAGAGAGTGACTGGCCCAAAGTCACCCAGCTGGCTTTCATGCCTGAGGTAGGACTAGAATTCACAGCCTCCTGGTTTCTAGCCTGGTGCCTTCACCACTAGACCAAACTGTCCATCATGACTTTTTTGACCATACTCTGAAAATACCCCTGGGCCAGGGGTATTTTTGCCCAATCCATTCTAGCTGCAGCGATGATGATGATTTTTATAAGCGGGCTGATCACTATTTTGCAGTTCTGGAAGACCGCTGTAGTGTGTGTTTTCTGGTTGCTGCCAATCACAAGGTCAGAATCAGACTGGGTGTTACTCACTCCATGCATTGCCATTCCCTTGCAGTACTGTAGCAGTCATGCATGGAGTTTGCTTGTTATCAGTCACTCCTTCTTCATCTCCTCTGCACTTGCTACCAAGAGTCCAATAACCTGTTTATAGTAAACACAAGTTTACAGAGCTTTCAGAAATAGCCTGATAGGTAACAAGCATAGAAGAGGGGTTATGTCAAGTAGGGTCATCACCCCTCATCCCTCCTTAGTGCCTGTCACCTGCCATTCTAAGTATCTACCTAAAGTTAGCCCTCCTCCCCACACATTAGAGAGAGTAATACAGGTAGTCCTTGCTTAACAACCACAATAGGGATGGGAACATTTGTCGTTAAGCAGGGTGGTCATTAAGTGAGTTGTGCCTGATTTTATGACTTTTTTGCAGCAGTTGTTAAGCAAATCACCATGGTCGTTAAGCAAACCACACAATCGTTAAGTGAATCCAGCTTCCCCCATTGACTTTGCTTGTCGGAAACTGCCTGGGAAGGTCATAAATAGTGATCATGTGACCCCAAGATACTGCAATTGTCGTAAATACATGCCGGTTGCCAAGCACCCAAATTTTGATCACGTGACTGTGGGAGCGCTGCAACAGTCATAAGTTCAAGGACTGGTCGCAAGTCCCTTCGTTCGTTGAAACTTCAAACGGTCACTAAATGAATAGTCATTAAGCTAGGACAACCTGTAGGTGATTGTTCTTGTGCTAGCAAATGTGGCCTTCTTCCACCCCCTTGCCCTTTTACTGTAGTTTAATAGCAATGCAAAGGGGATCTTCCTCAAGACATGACCCTTCCCCTCTCTTCTTTTAGCCCCCCAATGGATTGGAAGAGAACTGCAGACACAGCCTCCCTGCTCTGTGATTCAGGGACAGGGGTGTTGCAAAAAGTTAGACAACAGCTGTACAGTTGCCCACTAGCTGCATCTCTTAGAAAGCCTGCCTTGAGCCAATACAAAGTCAAGCTGAAATGTGGCTTTGGGAGATTAGCTGAACTGACTGGGAGATTTATTTATTTTTTAAAATTTATTCCATCCATATGGCTGCCCATCGCAAACAAGTGAGTCTAGGAAACTAACAGCAATTAAAAAAACAGAAAAAAAGCAAAATAAGTAGACAATTGGCAGTTGAGATAGAAACAAAAAGAACAGAAAGCAACCATCTGTATAAATACAATATAAAATTTTCAATAAAACTAGCGCATAGGCTCTTTTAGACACTCCAACCTCATGTGCTTACTGTGGACCTATGTAATGTAATGGGCACATATCAATCTTTATGGGCACAGTGTTTATGCATTCTCTTTAAGGTATGGTGAGTGCATGATTTTTTTCACATCTTTGTCATTCACATATGTTGCCCTGAACAAATATATTTAACTCATGTATTTAACTGAAGCTGATGTAGAGACATCTAGTTTGCTTCAGTTCTGAATCTACATATTCTGCTAAGCTTGTGATTATTGGGCTGCAACTACTCTGCTTGATTTTCCTTTCCCATCTCTCCCTCCAGCGTGCCTTTCCACATAAAAGAGAAACAGCAAGAATTAGAGAGAGAAAAGATGGAAGTGAAGAACCTGGAGACCTGGAAGCCTAGCCCAAGTTTGATGCAATCTTTACTTGCAGGTGGACAGGTCAGAAAACTGACTATTTCTTAACTGGAGGATGGAAGGCAAGATTTGTCCAAAACCCCTGATTTTGTGTGTCGTAAGTCGTAAGATGTATCTGTGAATATACCTGCTAGAAATTCTTGCCCAATAGTCATAACCACCTTTTGAATAATTACAGACATGTAGTTGTTTCTATGTACTATGTAGCTGTTTTATGTGGTTGTTTCTGTGCACTAAATGAATGAATGAATAAATGAAGAAATAAAAGGAAGTTTAGTTCATTTATTTCAACATGTGGTTAAGATTTAGATGACGGAAGAGTTTATTGATAGTTTTCAGAAGAAAAGTTAAACACCTTTTCTCAGGGTTCTTACTGTTGTAACATCTTCATTGTGTGTGTTCAGCAAAGCCTTAAAGAGCCAATCTTTGGGGTTATCAGGATCCCCTGTAGTTTTGACTTGGTCACCCACCACAAAGAACGCAATCAGACAAAGCAGTGAAGTTTATAATAATATGAAACCTCTGCCACACATACATTAATAATAAAAGAACAGTTGGCACAGAACTTGATTCACAATAAAATATAGCCCGCAGAACTGGGCTTAAAACTTGCAGAGAATATTATGCGTATTTGTTCTAGTCAGGCACTCCAACATAATAGAGATTAGGGTAACAAGCAATTGCACTAATAAATGAAACTTGATTTTGAGAGGAAAGTTCAGACAGACCTTGCTGTGAATATATGGACTGGAAGGAAAAACATTAAGGAGCAATTAAGGAAAGGGCAAAACCCTTTTGCACTGTTGCCAAGAAAACTGACCGGAAGGAAACCTTTCTTTCTAAGGAAAAGGCCTGGAAAGGAATGACTGGAAGGAAATGGTATCTTGGTTTGGATGAGGGCCGAAAGTAGAAAGGATTAAGCAGGAGCAAAAATGACTCTGTCGCTCTCTGGGCTCTTCATTTTTCTTCGTATGGGATTTGGCATTCCCTCTCTCAGTCCCCAAAACTTCAAATCCAGAAAAATGAAGCATTTTTTTTTCATTTTTGCAAATGAGCAGCCTGTCCCTGCACACACACACACCCCAACTTCACTTTGGTTAGAAAACTGCAAAAGTCCCCCTGTTTGGTTTTGCTGTCTGCCCCCCTCCCCAGACACACTTACTGTCTTTCTCACTTGTCTTTCTCTCACTCATACGTCTCTCACTTTCTCTCTTGCTGCCTCTTTCTGTCTGAAAAAAGCTGAGCAGGAAGACCTGTTGACAGGTGCTGTTGGGTGGATTCCCTTTTTCAGCCAGCATCATGTTTCTGTGCCAATTGTCTCACGCGTGGCATTTTTCCCCATGTTTATCAGTCTTGCACAAGATGCTAGATCTATAGAACTACAAAACTGGCATAAGCACTAATTAGGCATTACATGAAGAGGTGACCAATGCCTGGTCACTCCTGCTGACCAAGTCAAAAGTGACTCTAGTAACTTGAGGTGCCTGAGGAAGCCAAAAATCGCCAATCAGAACTGAGTAGGTACCAGCCCTGCCACATCATCACCATGTTGCCACTAAAGGGCCCCAAATCCTACATATTGCAAGGCTTGGATCAGGAGAAGATGGAAAACAGCACTTAAGCATTTGATTAGTTCAATATGAAGTTAGCTGGCCTCAGCTATGGGCTGGGTTGGGAAGAAGGCATGACCTTAAAGAAAGTTAGTGCGATACCTTTAAGCAACAGTGAGAGGATGTGTGGATGAATATCTCACATCTTCCCAGAAGACACGAAGAACAGAATGAATATGAGAAGGAATGCTTACAAAGCATTTAAATGGCTTTAATTGGCTAATACAACACCAAGTACAGATGAAACACTTGGAAGAAAGTACAACTGCTAGCTTACTTGCAGCTTAGTTGAGATTAATTTAGTTGGCCTATTTGCTTGTGCATTCTCCTCCAAACATCAATTCTCCTTATAAGGAGCTTCGCCATCTGGCATATATGAATCACTTCTGCAGCAGATAAGATACATTCTCCATCGTCCCTTTCCCAAACTGCTTGATCATTCATATTCTTGGCTATTTAGAAGGCAAGGCAGTATGATTATGTTGCTTCAAAATACCAGTGCTAGATTATTCAAGTCACCAGCATCCCAGGAGGCAATGGTCTGGGGTTGATAAGCCTGCCAACTCTGGGAAGGCAAGACATCTGGCACCCTCTCAAGCCATCTTATCTTTTTCAGTCTGATAAAAAAATTTTAAAACAGTGAGTGAACAAGTATTTTGATTACGTATTGCTGCAAAGTCCTGTAGTTGACATTCAAAACTAACAATGTTTGTGCTGCAGCATTATTAAATGATATCTTCCAAGTTTTTACAGATGACAGTAAAGATGTGACAGTGAGGATGTGCAATTCTATCACAATATTCCAAGAAATGCTGTCCTATCTCAGCTTTCATAGTCCTTCCACACACCCACATTGCTGAAAGCTCTGCTCGTCTGCCATATTTCTTTCCTTTGCTGCAAGTTTTGCCTCTAGTGTTTGGGACTTTGTTCTTGTGGTTAAAGTTACACCAAGAAGCATCATTTCTCAAAACCAATACTTCTGAATGGGCTCCACTGGTGTATGAGAAAATAGGTATGCCTTTGTGTTCATATACCCATGTAACCTTTTACCCTTTGTTCTGGTTTGAATTCCCACTCAGGAAACCAAACAGCAGCACTTCTTCAAAGGAATGAGCCGCAGCAACAAAATGCTGCTGAAGCTCCTTTACTCCCAAAGTTAAATGTGCAAAACTCTTAATGACCTGTAAGGATTGTTGGAAACTGCAAGTTGCAGCGGGAAATGTCAGCAGTGCTAGGGAATAACATTCTAATACACGTTTTTTATAACAAATTCTTCATTGGAGAGGTCAAAGTGAGGTTCCCACTGAGTTTATAATGAACTTGATGTATTGCTGCCTCATCTCTATTATATACTGTAGGTGAGTGGATATATGAAAGAAGTTGAGTTTCAAAGCGCCAGATGGGTGCCTGATTTAGTTTATTTTATTGCCTTGACGTTTTTTGCCTTTCTTGAATGATAAAAATATTTAGTTAATGACAAATGGATCGTGAGCTTTAAAAAAATTAGGGCACTGTGGGAATCGCAGATTATATGTGTATGTTTAAGTTGGAAAATTTGCATTTAATAGAAGCAAATCCTGCTTTGCCCCCACATGATCTGGTCAGGGACTTATTACAGACCCCAGATATAATGGCCTAATTTATTGTTTGCTATTGGGAGCTCCTTCTCAAGGCATTCTATGACCTAAATGGTCAGATTTGACTGTCCAAGGATGAGGACTGGCAGGCTAGAGATGCCACAGGTTACTGGGGCAAGGTTAACCATGGCCTAGCCAAGCTCAATGCTACATATAAGCAACAGTTGCCTGCTAAATGTGCAAGCTTCCAAATACAAGACATAGGCTGGCCTTCAGGAGTAGGGCCAGAGCACCACCCAAATTTCAGGAAGGCACCTCTGCCGAGGACAACAGAGAACAGCAAAATCCTCTCCTCTTGTGTTCTTACTGGGGCAGTGTATCCCATTATCCCAGTTCCGGCCAGTGATGAGTCCAACCCACGCTTTCAGGTTATGGGGAGAAGGATGGGGCCCCTTTAGAAGTAATTGAGCACTCTCTTGTGAGGTCCTACTATTCAGATCTATCCAAAGCCCTTATGTCCTTGAAATAAAATCAAGATATGGGACAGAGATATCTGACTTGCTAGTACTTGTGAAATAGGAGTCAGCAGCTATAAAGGAGGCAAGTCCAATTTGAGGATGCATCAACAGAAGTATAGTTTCTAAACCATAGGAAGTGCTCCACTCTGTTCTGCACTGATCAGACTATATGTGTCCAGCATTGGGCACCATGTTTAAATAAGAATTGAGAGAAATTAGAACAGGTTCAGAGACAGGACCCAAAAATGAGCTTGATATGTTTAACCTTGAAAAAAAGATGACCAAGACAGGGTATGATAGTACTCTTTAAATACCCAAAAGGATATTGCATAGAAGATCCAAATCTGTTCTCTCTTGTTCCAGAGTACAGGACACAGAAACATGGATTTCAGTTACAGGAAAGCAGACTCTGAAGGGATGTTAGGAAAACTTCCTAACTATAAGAGCACTTTGACAGTAGAATCCCCAAGAAAGATAGTGGGTTCATTGGATGTGTTCAAGCAGAGACTGGACAGCTTTACTTTGAATTCCTGCACTGAGCATGGGGTTGGATTCAGTGGCCTAAATGGTCCCTTCCAAACTCTACAATTCTATCAATAATTTAAACTAAATTCAAAATATCACATTTGCTTGTTTTTCTTTGTCTCTGCTTTATGGACTATGGTATGTTTGTCACTGGAAATATGAATTAAGTGGATGCCTCAGATTTCTCCGAATATTTCAACATTGGCACCAACTTCACAGGAAATTGCCCAGAGTTCCCCCATTGGGGGGAGATGGGCAGTTGAAAAATTTAATAAATAAAAATAAATAAAAATTCTAACTTTTGGAGTGGAGGGCCAAACTATATGGTACCATTTCACTCTGTCATACCCACCATTCCTGGATTATTTTACCTCACTAGAGCTTTATATGTTTAAATATTTTACCCCTGTCCCAATAAGAAACATAGGTTAAAACAGTGATTACTGATCTGTTCTTTGGGGTTGAGGGAGAGCATTAGAAATGCTACCAAAGTTTATAATCTTCAGTTTGGATGATGAATTGGGACTACCCAAACTTCACCATCTCCTCAAATCCTCCTACTCAAATTGTAATTACAGACAAAATAAAATAAAATAAACTCAAACTTTTCATGCTTCTCCCAACCTTGATTTGCATTTCATAATAACAGTGATAATAATAGGCTACATTCCAGTATTGTTTATATATAGATTAAAATTTAACTATTGAAAATAGCGTATTTATTTTTTGCCCAATCCTAACTCCAATGTAAGTATTAATTTTATTCATAGCAAGTGAGGGGGGATTGCACAAATTACTTTATCATTTTAGAGGGTTGC